AGCAAGCAGCATCGCTCATATGGCAACGTGGTTAGTCTACGGAGGCAACTTGGGCTATGCTGATGTGTCGGCGCGAAAGAAGGGAAACTGTGGCCGCAAGCGAACAACTACTCTGGCCGACGTGAAAGCTTCCGTCAAGGCCGCCGATCCGTACCATCGCTCGACATTCCGTGCTGGCCGAGTCCACATGTACATCGTCGACAACGCTGTGGAGGCTCGTCAAGGCCAAGAAGATTTAACGACGCGCACGCCACGTGAAGCCCATGCTGACGGACAAGCACAAGGCCGAGACTTGAACTAATCTAAGACTTGTGGCTGTGCTGATCTTGTTTGTGTGTCGTACGCTATGATGCCAGCCTCCAGCAACATCACCATAACGTCCTTAGCGACTGTGCGTACACGAGTCAAGCTGCGTTTACGAATGAACTGGCGCACCATAGATGTCACAGCAAAGGTCCGAGGAATGCGTGTGGATCGTTGATTTTGGTTTGACGGAGGAGGCACAGCAATGATGCTCTTTGTACGCACGTACTCAGACCTAACTTCTTTTACGCCTTTGGGACTGCGGCCAAGAAGGCGTGCGATTGTAGGTCTCACATCACGACAATTGCTGCGACGAAGTTCAGCGTGAAGACGAAGAATATCAAGTCGTTCTTCTTTAGTTTAGCTTCTTGGGCGCTCTCGTCGAATGAAGTTTGTGATTTCGTCGTAGTCGTCTTCGGTAAAGGTTGTCATGACGGTGGTTGATGCCTTCATCGACTGGCACAAAATTACTGCAGCAGGGTACAATTACCAGAGGTTTTTCGTCAAGTCCATGTGAATTTAAATTTAACCTTGTGAAAAATGATTTGATTAATTGTCAAAGGCAATTAGTTGTGGATGTGAAATTTAGTTAGATTTTCGAGTTTGAACAAACACATCTCGCAGGATATTCGTTTTCAGGCCTGACGTCTATTGAAAGTTGCATTTGGGACGTCGAGACGAGTGTACACACGAAATTTCTCAGAAAACTTCGAAAAATTGCTCAAGTTGTGCCTTCTGGTCCCCTCGATGCCCTCGACCACTGTGAGCACAAGCCAAGGGCGGCATTCCGAAGTCCGTCCCCGATGCCACTCAGTTCTTCCGCTATAGTAGTAATTCCACCGCTTCGACCTACTTCGTATTCGCAAGTAATCTCCGATTCGTTTCATCCACTTTCGAAGTCTGTAGCTTATATACTATTGCTACCATACAGGAGCGAAGTTGGACGACGTCC